GGGGGGTTGTCCCCCAGAAAATTGTTCCATTTTTGAAGCTCTAAGACTGCAATTCTGGCGTTTTCTAAAGCAAATTCGCAAACAAATTGGATGCAAATTGACTGTATATTTTACAAAATGGTTATCATTTCACACAAATAATTAGTTTATTACGCAAATTTTACCTGAAAATATCAAAATTTTAACTGGAATTTTACCTGATTTTTGTCTGAGTTTTGTCTGATTTTTGTTTGTTTCCCAATAATTCAGGAAGATAATTCCCAACGGACGAATAATATGCATACTGAGAAAGATCCCCATAAAAATCTGTGGGTTGAAGTGAAAAATAATAAGAAAAAGAAACGTAAACAAAATGCGAAGCAGAAAGAGCAACAAAATGAACCACCAATAAGATCTGATGCTGAGAAATTAGTTGCTAAAACAAACGTAGATATGCGGCAAGAAACGCGAAGCGCACCACCAAAGACAGCTGGACCAAGCGATCAGACCAACCTCGACCTTGAGGGAAGCCATCCAGGCACTAAGCCAACAAGAGTAATAGTGGCGGGTGACACAATGGTTAAACATGTCAACGGTTATAAGATGTCAACGAAAAGCACAAAAATTCAAGTATCTGCCTTCCCCGGAAGTACCACGTTAGATATGACAGATTATATAAAACCGATATTAAGAAAGAAACCCGATAAGCTTATTATCCATGTCGGCACAAATTGCCTAAAAATTCGTGGAAACTCGGAGCGCTCATGTGCGGAAGAGATTATTAAATTGGGCGAATCAGTAAAAAAATGCAATCTCGAGCTTAATAACACGATCTGATGACGAGTTTCTAACACGCAAAGTCAGCGATGTTAATAAAGTCCCCAAACAAACCTGCATTCAGAAACATTGGAAATATATCGATCACACCCGAGGATTTAAACCAAAGCAGAATCCATCTAAATAAAGTGGGAACAATCAAGATGGCACGCAATTTTACTGATTTTATTTATAATAGGAAACATTAGGACAACGCCGTGTGGGAGCCTGTAGCTAATACTGAAATACAGCCAAGTAGCTATAGATGACCAATCGTCGATAACCTTGGGTGAGTCAAACGAATCAAATTATTCAAATATTTCATTATATAATTTAGAAAATATACCATTTCATCGGGGCATGTCTATGGCATGTTTGAATATAAATAGTTTATTTGCCCATATAGATGAATTACGAGTATTTATGAGTAATAATAAAGTAGACATATTATGTATTAATGAGACCAAACTTGATTCATCAATTAATGACAATGAAATCCATATACCAAATTTTGAAATCATTCGAAGAGATCGACGTACAAATGGCCGTCAGGGTGGCGGCATTTGCATTTACATTAGAAGTAATATTAATTACAAAATACGACATAATCTACAAGAAATACTTGATATATACGATGTCGAACAATTAATAAACGAACCGACAAGAATTACTGCTACATCTAGCACCCTGATCGATTTATGCCTAACCAATACACCTGTAAATATTGTGAAGTCTGGTGTCATACACGTATCTATTAGTGACCATTCATTAATATATATGATACGTAAGGCTAACTATATACACGAGGGGGCCCCAGAACGATAGATGCTAGAACAATGAAGAACTTCAACAGAGAATTCTTTCTAAGCGATCTTGAACTAAACCATTGGGATAGTGTCTATTGCTCCCAGGACCATAACGAAATGTTTGATGCCTGGAAAAAAATGCTCATGAAAACCATAAATAAGCACGCACCACTTAGATCCAGGAGAATTAGAAATAGAAAATCTCCCTGGATTACAAAAGATTTAAGACGCCAGATATTTAAACGAGATTACCTAAAAAAGAAAGCTGTTACATCCAATGATCCTAAAATCTGGCATCAATATCGACAAACTCGAAATCACATTAATAATGAAATTAAAAAAACTAAACAAGCTTATTATAAGAATAATCTTGAATCGAGTAAAGGCAACATGAAAAAAACATACAACCTTATAAATGAACTATAAGCTCTAGAAATGTAAGCAAAACTAAAAAGATAATACAATTAGATTTTGAAGAGCGAGAAATAACTGCACCTGAAGAAATAGCTGAAACATTTAACAGCAAAGTTCCAATCAATGGCAAAACACACTTCGACGGCAAACGCAGAGGACTTCGAAGGCCAGCAGTAAATTGTAAGAGTGGGACAAGCAAACATCCTCTTTTCTCACAATTAGAAGAGAGTCTAGGTTGGAGGATGTTGCAGCGGATAAAGCGATGGAGTAGTTTCCATTATATGCAAACTCCCCTTGATGGCAAAGGCAGAGGCCTTAGAAGGGAAGGAGTGAATTGTACGACTGTAACAAGCAAACATCGTCTTTTCTCACAATCACTCGAGTCTTGGTACGGCTGGGTATAGTGTAGTATAGTATAGTAAAACTTTATTTAACCACGCTTCCCTCATCACCCATGGATGATTTTCATGAGGGGCGTCACACAGATTACATTCTAAAAACTAATATAAATTAAATATGAAATAGAATAACTCAGAATAACAAATACGTAGATAAAAAAGTTAAAAAACCAAGACTATTCGATGCCTGACTCTGTAGCACACATTATTTTATCAAATTTTTGAAGCTACTTAAAGATTCTGTTTGCTTTGCCTGCGTAGGTAAACTATTCCATAGAACAGCCCCGCTATATCCAAAACTCTTTTTTAAATATTCAGTACGTGGTTTAGGAACTGAAAGATTTATATCAGCATTTCTGAGATTATAATTAATTAGCACTAAGATTTATGTCCCTTGTTATAAATTTATCCTTTAAGTTCGGAGCTGAGTGGTTGTTTAATATTTTGAACATCAAGACCAATTTATTCATTTTATGTCTGTCGTGCAGATTTTTCCATGACATATAGCATGGAGCAAATCTGTCGACCTGACATCATAATTGGCACCTGTCATAATTCTTGCCGCCCTATTTTGTAGTTTTTTTGTAAATTTCTCTTTGAGCATGCTTTCCACAATTATCCCATAAAGATGAACAATAGTCAAAATATGGGAGAACGGAGAGAATTTATATAACAAAAATATAAATTTTGTAGTGTTTCGGACGGCACAAACGGCTTTACTCTTTTGATGATTCCAGTACCGGAGCCAACTTTCCTACATATTGTGTCTATATGATTTTCCCAGCTCATTCTTTCATCTAGTTCTACTCCCAGACATGGAAAAGAGGGATATCGAGTAACCGGTTTATCATTTATCATAACCTGTTCATTACCAACTTTGTTTTTTAAGTTATAAGGTGATCCTATAAACATTGCTTTTGTCTTTTTTGTGTGAAGTTGCAATTTATTTCGAGAGAGCCATTTGACTATATTTTCTAAATCCTGATTAAGTTTGGTTACTAGTTCGGAGAAACTTGCGGAAGATGCATATATTTGAGTATCGTCAGCATACATGCCAGGAGTTGTGTTTTTCAGACATTCTGGCAAATCATTTATATATAGTAAAAACATGAGGGGTCCCAAGATAGATCCCTGTGGAACTCCGCATACAATTTCCTTAGCCAACGATGTGTGGCCATCGACAACACAAACTTGGCTTCGTTTCGTCAAATAGGATTGGAACCATTTTAGCTCAAAATCTTGAACACCAAACTGGTCGTGCATCTTCCCTTAATAGGATTTTATGATCAATAGAGTCAAAGGCTTTCCTAATATCAACTGAAATTAATCCGGTTATTTCTCCATTATCCATATTTTCAAACCAATTGTCACTCATTTCTATTAATAAGGACAGTGTCGAATGTTTGGGCCGGAAGCCCGATTGAAAACGTGAAAGTAAGAGAATTGTCTATCAGATATTGATAGAGCTGGTCCAAATACTTCTTTCTCAAATAATTTGCTGATAATGGGAAGAATAGACATCGGGCGATAGTTTTCACATTTCGTTCTATCTTCTGTTTTATAAACAGGTATTACCCTGGCTCTTTTCCAATCATCAACATATATCCCAGTAGAAATTGAGAGATTAAATATATAAGTCAAGGATGGGGCAATAATATCGCAAGATAATATCAACATTTTGGCTGGTATTCCATCAGCCCCGGTAGCCTTTGGATACTTTTAGATTTTTCAGGTTTTTTAGAATATTGGATTCAGTAATTGTATGGAAATAGAATTTTGAATTTACACCAGTTGAATTACAATGCATGTCTTCATAATCCGAAAGACGTTCACATTCAGCAGCGAGTGTTGGGCCAATATTAACAAAATAGTCGTTTAAGTGTTCAGCTATTTGTTTGCGATCATTATATATTATTCCATTAATATTAATTTCTGCAATGTTAGATGATTTCCCTCCTTTGCCCAATAGGGTGTTTATCAGTGACCATGTTTTTTTCATGTCTTTAGCTAGGGAAAATTCCTTAATTCTTGTTTGATAATAGACAGTTTTGGCCCTTTTCATTTCCGAGTTAACTCTATTTCTCTCCGATTTATATTTATCCCAGTGAACCTGGGAATTATATCTCTTTGCTCTCTTTTTATGATAGTCTCTGGATCTTATTAGTTTTTTAATGTTGGAATTTATCCAGGGAACAGAATTGTGCTTTAATGCTTTTATAAATTAAGGGTGCATGTCTGTCAAGAGCTTCCAAATAAAAAGATTTCCAGACATGCCAATTGTCGTTCGAGTTCATATACTGTGTAGCTAAATACCAAGGAATTCTGGACAGTTCCTCAAAAAATCAGTTTCATTAAATCTTTTGAAATTTCTAACTTTGAAACGGGTTTGCCTATATTTAGGCATGGTCACTTTTTTCACTGCAAAAATTAAACTGTGATCTGACATTCCCAAGTCAATAACACCACTATTGGAAATGTTATTGGGTTGATTGGTGAACACTAGATCAATTAAAGATGATGATGTGCTTGTGACTTTAGTTGGCTCCTTGATCAATTGCTCTAAGTTATATAATGTGCTCAGAAATATTAACTTTTTGGTACTGGGATGTTGGATGTTGCGTTAAAAGAGAGTGTAGGTCGGGGGATGTTGTTAGCTGTTAAAGCGATGGAGTAGTTTGAAGATTATATGCGGAGCGTTGGCATGAAGGAAAAGACACTTCAAAGCAAAAGCAAAGGCGCTTTGAAGCCAAAAACGACCTTCGATGGCAAACGTCCTTGGATGGCAAAGTTCCAATCAATGGCAAAACACCCTTCGACGGCAAACGCAGAGGACTTCGAAGGCCAGCAGTAAATTGTAAGACTGGGACAAGCAAACATCCTCTTTTCTCACAATTACAAGAGAGTCTAGGTTGGAGGATGTTGCAGCGGATAAAGCGATGGACTAGTTTGCATTATATGTGGAGCGTTCGCATGAAGGAAAAGATACTTCGAAGGCAAAGGCAAGGGCGCTTTGAAGCCAAAGGCCAATCGATGGCAAATGCCCTTGGATGGCAATGGCGCATCGATGGTAAAGGTCCTTCGATGGCAAAGGCCTTTTGATGGTAATTAAAAGGCCCCTCGATCGACGGAAAACGCCCCATGCACGGATGGCAAACTCCCCTTGATGGCAAAGGCAGAGGCCTTAGAAGGGAAGGAGTGAATTGAACGACTGCAACAAGCAAACATCCTCTTTTCTCACAATCACTCGAGTCCTTGTACGGCTGGGTCGGAGGATGTTGCATTACAAGAGAGTTTAGGTTGGAGGATGTTGCAGCGGATAAAGCGATGGAGTAGTTTGCATTATATGTGGAGCGTTCGCATGAAGGAAAAGACACTTCAAAGCAAAAGCGAGAGCGCTTTGAAGCCAAAAACGACCTTCGATGGCAAACGTCCTTGAGTCGCAAACGCCCTTGGATGGCAAAGTTCCAATCAATGGCAAAACACCCTTCGACGGCAAACGCAGAGGACTTCGAAGGCCAGCAGTAAATTGTAAGAGTGGGACAAGCAAACATCCTCTTTTCTCACAATTAGAAGAGAGTCTAGGGCGGAGGATGTTGCAGCGGATAAAGCGATGGAGTACTTTGCATTATATGCAAACTCCCCTTGATGGCAAAGGCAGAGGCCTTAGAAGGGAAGGAGTGAATTGTACGACTGTAACAAGCAAACATCGTCTTTTCTCACAATCACTCGAGTCTTGGTACGGCTGGGTCGGAGGATGTTGCGTTAAAAGAGAGTGTAGGTCGGGGGATGTTGTAGCTGTTAAAGCGATGGAATAGTTTGAAGATTATATGCGGAGCGTTGTTGGCATGAAGGAAAAGACACTTCAAAGCAAAAGCAAAGGCGCTTTGAAAACGTCCTTGAGTCGCAAACGCCCTTAGATGGCAAAGTTCCAATCAATGGCAAAACACCCTTCGACGGCAAACGCAGAGGACTTCGAAGGCCAGCAGTAAATTGTAAGACTGGGACAAGCAAACATCCTCTTTTCTCACAATTACAAGAGAGTCCAGGTTGGAGGATGTTGCAGCGGATAAAGCGATGGAGTAGTTTGCATTATATGTGGAGCGTTCGCATGAAGGAAAAGACACTTCAAAGCAAAAGCGAGAGCGCTTTGAAGCCAAAAACGACCTTCGATGGCAAACGTCCTTGAGTCGCAAACGCCCTTGGATGGCAAAGTTCCAATCAATGGCAAAACACCCTTCGACGGCAAACGCAGAGGACTTCGAAGGCCAGCAGTAAATTGTAAGACTGGGACAAGCAAACATCCTCTTTTCTCACAATTACAAGAGAGTCCAGGTTGGAGGATGTTGCAGCGGATAAAGCGATGGAGTAGTTTGCATTATATGTGGAGCGTTCGCATGAAGGAAAAGACACTTCAAAGCAAAAGCGAGGGCGCTTTGAAGCCAAAAACGACCTTCGATGGCAAACGTCCTTGAGTCGCAAACGCCCTTGGATGGCAAAGTTCCAATCAATGGCAAAACACCCTTCGACAGCAAACGCAGAGGACTTCGAAGGCCAGCAGTAAATTGTAAGACTGGGACAAGCAAACATCCTCTTTTCTCGCAATGACAAGAGAGTCCAGGTTGGAGGATGTTGCAGCGGATAAAGCGATGGAGTAGTTTGCATTATATGCAAACTCCCCTTGATGGCAAAGGCAGAGGCCTTAGAAGGGAAGGAGTGAATTGTACGACTGTAACAAGCGAACGTCCTCTTTTCTCACAATCATTCGAGTCTTCGTACGGCTGGGTCGGAGGATGTTGCATTAAAAGAGAGTGTAGGTCGGGGGATGTTGTAGCTGTTAAAGCGATGGAGTGTCATCGCCATCCGTGGGTGGTTATTTGCCGTCAAAAGGCCTTTGCGATGGAAGTGCCTTTCGCTTCAAAGCGCCCTTGTCTTCGAAGTTGTCTTTTCCTTCATGCGAACGCTGCACATATAATGCTTCAAACTACTCCATGGTTTTATCCGCTGGAACATTCTCCGACCTAGACTTTCTGGTAATGCAACATCCTCCTAACCAAGCCGTGCCTAGTCTCGCGAGTGATTGTGAGAAAAGAGGATGTTTGTTTGTTACATTCGTACAATTCACTCCTTCCCTTCTTCTAAGGCAGAGTGCCTTCTGCCATCAAGGGAAGTTTGCCATCCGTGCATGGGGCGTTTTCCGTCGATCGAGGGGCCTTTTAATTTAAGGTGGCTCGCTATAGTTTATAGAAATGTTGAAAATGCGTAAAACTAGATGATCACCTTTTTGAAGAGATGATGCTCTTTGCAAATCGAAATTTGTATATTTATATATACAGCGACAATCAAACAGTCGTAAAATTGGTCAGAAAAGTGACGTCACCACTGTTGCTATGGCAACAATGACGGTTCAAGATGGCTGATTATTTTGGCTTTGAACGCATTTTATACTTTAAAAAAGGTCCGGTTACCCCCATTTTTTATTTCAGAAAAAGTTTTATTATTATAGTACAAATACACTATCTCTGTCCAATTATTTAAAAAAAGTTCTTGTAATGCCAAATTTTTAAAAAATTAATATAAAATATACATGGGTTTTCGAAATTTTTTTTTTTTGGCATTACAGAATTTTTTTTAAAATGGTCAGATAAGTGCATTGCACTATAAGAAAATGTTTTCTGAAATAAAAAATGGGGGGTAACCGAACCTTTTTTTAAAGTAAAATTGCGTTCAAAGCCAAAATATCGGCTATCCTGAATCGTCATTGTTGCCATAGCAACAGTAGTGACGTTCACCTTTTCTGACCAATTTTCGACTGTTTGATTGTCGCTTGTATATATAATATACAAATTTCGATTTCTAAAGAGCCATCATCTCTTCAAAAAGGTGATCTTAGTTTACGCATTTTCAACATTTCTATAAACTGTAGCGAGCCACCTTAATTACCATCAAAAGGCCTTTGCCATCGATGCGCCATTTGCCATCCAAGGGCATTTGCCATCGATTGGCCTTTGGCTTCAAAGCGCCCTTGACTTTGCCTTCGAAGTATCTTTTCCTTCATGCGAACGCTCCACATATAATGCAAACTACTCCATCGCTTTATCCGCTGCAACATCCTCCAACCTAGACTCTCTTGTCATTGTGAGAAAAGAGGATGTTTGCTTGTCCCAGTCTTACAATTTACTGCTGGCCTTCGAAGTCCTCTGCCTTTGCCGTCGAAGGGTGTTTTGCAATTGATCGGAACTTTGCCATCCAAGGGCGTTTGCGACTCAAGGGCGTTTGCCATTGAAAGGCCATTGCCATCGAAAGTCCTTTGGCTTCAAAGCGCCATTGCTTTTGCTTTGAAGTGTCTTTTCCTTCATGCCAACGCTCCGCATATAATCTCTTCAAACTACTCCATTGCTTTAACAGCTACAACATCGCCCGACCTACACTGTCTTTTAATGCAACATCCTCCGACCCAGCCGTACCAAGACTCGAGTGATTGTGAGAAAACAGGATGTTTGTTTGTTACAGTCGTACAATTCACTCCTTGCCTTCGAAGGCCTCTATGTTTGCCATCGAAGGACTTTACCATGCTTCAAAGCGCCTTTACATTCGAAGTGTATTTTCCTTCATGCCAACGATCCAAAATCATAATCCTACATAATCCTAAACTACTCCATCGCTTTAACCGCTGCAACATCATCCGACCTAGACTTTCTTGTAATGCAACATCCTTCGACCCAGCTTGAGTGATTGTGAGAAAAGAGGATGTTTGCTTGTTCCAGTCGTACAATTCACTCCTGGCCTTCTAAGGCAGAGGCCTTTGCCATCAAAGGGAGTTTGCCATCCGTGGGTGGTTAATTGCCATCAAAAGGCCTTTGCGATGGAAGTGGCTTTCCCTTCAAAGCGCCCTTGCCTTCGAAGTGTCTTTTCCTTCATGCGAACACTCCAAATATAATGCTTCAAACTACTCCATGGTCTTATCCGCTGGGACATCCTCCGACCTAGGCTTTCTGGTAATGCAACATCCTCCTAACCAAGCCGTGCCCAGTCTCGAGTGATTGTGAGAAAAGAGGATGTTTGCTTGTTCCGGTCGTACATTTCACGCCTTGCCTTCTAAGGCCTCTCCCTTTTGCCATCAAAGGGCGTTTGCCGTGTAGGAGTCTTTGCCGTCGAAGGCCCTTTATTAGCATCAAAGGGCCTCTTTTTGCCATCAGAAGGCTTTTGCCATCCAAATGCCTTTGCCATCGAAGGACCTTTACTATCGTTGCGCCATTGCCATCCAAAGGCCTTTGCGATCGAAGGGCCTTTCGCTTCAAAGCGCCCTTTTTGCCTTTGCCTTCGGTAGTGTCTTTTCTTTCATGCGAACACCCCACAAATAATGGTTCAAACCACTTCATCGCTTTATCCGCTGCAACATCCTCCAACCTAGACTATCTTTTAATGCAACATCCTCCGACCCAGCCGTACAAAACTCGAGTGATTGTGAGAATAGAGGACCGTTCGCTTGTCCCAGTCGTACAATTTATGTCCCATCCGTGCATGGGGCGTTTTCCGTCGATCGAGGGGCGTTTTAATTACCATCAAAAGGCCTTTTTGCCATCCAATTTTACCTTTACCATCGATGCGCCATTGCCATCCAAGGGCATTTGCCATCGAATGGCCTTTGGCTTCAAAGCGCCCTTGCCTTTGCCTGCGAAATGTCTTTTCCTTCATGCAAACGCGCCACATATAATGCAAACTACTCCATCGCTTTATCCGCTGCAACATCCTCCAACCTAGACTCTCTTGTAATGCAACATCCTCCGACCCAGCCGTACAAGGACTCGAGTGATTGTGCGAAAAGAGGATGTTTGCTTGTCCCAGTCCTACAATTTACTCCTTGCCTTCGAAGGCATCTGCATTTGCCGTCGAAGGGCGTTTTGCCATTGATCGGAACTTTGCCATCCAAGGGCGTTTGCGACTCAAGGGCGTTTGCATTGAAGGGCGTTTTCCATTGAAGGGCCATTGCCATCAAAGGGCCTTTGCCATCACAAGGCCTTTGCCATCGAAGAACCTTTACCATTGATGCGCCATTACCATCGATGCGCCATTACCATCGAAAGGCCCATCGCTTCAAAGCGCCCTTGCCTTCGAAGTGTCTTTTCCTTCATGCGAACGCTGCACATATAATGCTTCAAACTACTCCATGGTTTTATCCGCTGCAACATCTCCCGACCTAGACTTTCTGGTAATGCAACATCCTCCTAACCAGCCGTGCCTAGTCTCGAGTGATTGTGAGAAAAAAGGATGTTTGCTTGTTCCAGTTGTACATTTCACGCCTTGCCTTCTAAGGCCTCTCCTCTTCGGAGTTTTGTCTTGTTAAATAAATAACTTTATAATTAAGTAATGAAATGCTATGATAGTATCAATATCAACATGAATTCCAAATAGTACATTATTGATATATACTCTCATCGTTTTCGTGTGTCGTTTTTTCAGGTCATTTATTCATTAATTAATGTGATGTTTAAAGCACCCATAGCGCCATGAAGGAACGATACAAAGCCAATATATTATACGAGATCGGATTAGGAAAATTATAATGGACCGCCTATATAGCTGTCCTTGCCTGATATCATGTGCCTGAATTACTGATACTGAATATACTTCAAAAGCTTGAAGAATTTATTTCCCGATTACTAATACAAAGATGTTACCAATGCTAAATGTTTTTATTTCTTGATGTGATTTTTGTATATTGCGGATAAATGCTTTCCATGCAGTATTATGAATGTCGTTTGAGAAATTAGGGATCGATTATAATTATTATAAGAAGCTATATGACTTTACGAACAAACTATATGCATGAAAAAGGTTGGGATTTAGCGAAGATAGATTTGTCCGCCAGGGTTGCGGACTCCTTTCTTGTGATTTCCACTATTTTTTGCCGCAAGGATCATGTGTTGGGTAATTAGTATCTGTGTTTCCATCAAAGTAATAAAACGCAGAGGGACCACTCAAGACTGGTCCATAATATGACCAATAAATTATTTTTGGTGCCACACCACTACAAGCTGTTGCCACGTTCTTTATATTTTGACAGCTCATTGAAGCCCGTGTCTTTGTGACCAGGCTTCCACCATTTGGTTGACAAACAATCCAATCATTGATGTTTGACTTGACCATCAACACTTTCCCAATGTTCTTCCAAAGATTCCAGTCTACAGCCCCAAGAGATGACTCACTGAGTGGAGGAGTGGTTGAGATTGGGACATTAGCCCTCCAGGCAGGCCAGTTTGGACGGGGGGTTACAGCATTGCTTCCTGAGGTAAAACTGTTGTAATTTGTAAAGGTGTAGCTGTAAACCAAGGTCCAGCCTCCCCCGTGAGTTTCCATGTCACAGTAAACTTGAAATAATTTACCGGCTGCAGGCCGTATCGAGTAAATACCTGAAATTGCGAATGTATTTGCCGCTAGGATAGCTTTACAAGACTTTCTCGTGATTTCTGAAAAGAATTGAATAATTAAAGGGGAAGTCAAGTCCGTAATGTAAACAAACGGTTTGTTTACATTTTGAACTGCTGTAGTTTTTAAAATATGATGTACTGTCTGAATATCTAACACCATTTTGGTTCGCTATGCTTCTAAATGAATATGAAATAGAGTTTATGTTCAGAAAAATTCGAAACATTCGAAATTTGGGCAATGTTCACATTAGAGGTCCTCACATTGTTATGAGCAGAACCGATGCGCAGAACGGACTTGACTTCCCCTTTAAAGTAAATTTAAAACTGAACCATGTGGATGACGTCGGTGGCGCAGTCGTCAGAGCAAGCGCCCACGGAAATCAAAAGCGTGCACAGAGGACTTGGGACTAGTCTGGCAAGCGCCTTTCACTTCTGAGGTCGTGGGTCCGATTCTCGCTACGGACGTATGCGAAAAGAGTCTGTCAACGCTATACCGAAAGTCGTGGGTTTTCTCCGGGCATTCTGGTTTCCTCCCAAAGGGGAAAGTTGGCAGGATTGGTTAGGATAAACACAGTTTGGAAAAGTAATATCACAATTGTTGTAAAGAAAAATAGTCTAAGCTAAGTAGGTAACATTAAGTAATTATAAAATAGCCTTTTAAAAACACGGGCGCTGATTGGTTAAAAACTAAAAAAAAACTGTTTCTATAACTCGATAGAAACACGGGACATTTTCACGCGGGTTGCGTGGATTGCACGGGAGTTTAAAAGACAAAATACAAACAATATTTAATCACAATTTTGAAACTGAAAGTTGAAAAACGTCCCGAAACGCCGAAGAACCGTTAAAAAAAAGCAACTATTTTGCTGACTTAGAAAGCGAAGATCTAAAGCACAAAGTATAATTATAGCACACGTTGTATCTGTTTGACTGTTTACCAAGGTAAGATATTTTAATTTTACTTTGTCTTTTTAAAAAAATGTTTCCTCGCGACGTTTTTAATCATGTTTACTATAGTTTTTAAGGTGGCTCGCTACAGTTTATAGAAATATTGAAAATGCGTAAACTAGATCACCTTTTTGAAGAGATGATGCTCTTTACAAATCGAAATTTGTATATTATATATACAGCCGCATTACAGCGACAATCAAACAGTCGAAAATTGGTCAGAAAAGTGACGTCACCACTGTTGCTATGGCAACAATGACGATTCAAGATGGCCGATATTTTGGCTTTGAACGCATTTTACTTTAAAAAAGGTCGGTTACCCCCATTTTTCATTTCAGAAAACATTTTCTTATAGTACAATACACTATCTGACCAATTTTAAAAAATTTCTGTAATGCCAAATTTTTAAAAAATTTATAAACATGGTTTTTCGAAATAATTCTTTTTTTGCATTATAGAATTTTTTTAAAATTGGTCAGATAGTGTATTGTACTATAAGCAAATGTTTTCTGAAATAAAAAAATGGGGGTAACTGACCTTTTTTTAATTAAAGTAAAACGCGTTCAAAGCCAAAATATCGGCCATCTTGAATCGTCATTGTTGCCATAGCAACAGTGGTGACGTCACTTTTCTGACCAATTTTCGACTGTTTGATTGTCGCTTGTATATATAATATACAAATTTCGATTTGTAAAGAGCATCATCTCTTCAAAAAGGTGATCTAGTTTGCGCATTTTCAACCGATTTCTATAAACTGTAGCGAGCCACCTTAATCATGTTTAAACGTTCACTAACTATTTATAACAGTGCTTTCTTTGCATGCAAGCATGTACGTTGTTGAGTGATATACTTTAGTAAAGTAAGACAAGTAAGCCTGTTAAGTGCTGTCTGTTGTTTTGACAGCGATATACTTGTTTACTTCGCTATGCTTTTATAATTATTCTTTACACGAACGTATATTCCTCTACGAGGAACGAGTTTGAGTCTATGACGTAGGCTAATATATATTAAGGTGGAATTAATATTTGAATGAAAGCAATTAAAATCAATGAATTTATCTGTTCTATTGTTTTTAAAAGGCTATTTAATAAAGGAAATAGAATAACATTTTTTCCGTGTTCCTACAGAGTTTATAGAAACAATTGTGAAAGTTTGGGAGAAACTCGAAATTGAAACACGCAATTTCTCGTTTCTACCAAACTTTCACGCGTGTTTCTATAACTCTATAGAAACACGGAAAATGTTTTCTATTTCTTTATAAGGGTAAAAACCTTGTGTAATCGGTCACCAAAAAGCCCCAATGGGGAGTGAGCTGAATAATAACAATGTATATCGCAGTGTATCTTGAAATGATTTATTGACCGCAACAGGCTTGATCCAGTAAATTTATGAAATTTGGAATTTATTTGCTGCTATAGAATGTCGATATACAGGACTTTCCATGGTTTGATTTTTACCCATAAACTGGGCTGGGCAGTCAGCTAAACATATATCCTGAGATTGTGTGTCACACTAGAAATGACAGTTCAAACTTCAAGCCTGTATGTTTGTCAGTTTTGAAATTCAAACTGGCGAGGATTTATTGCCATGACAGTGTCTTATATATTATACATGTATATTTTGACAAAAATACTCTTTAATGTTTGCTTTTCTCTACAATGATCTGAGTATTTAAATAAAAATGTTGCAAGCAAGTTTACAATAGCTAATGGTTTGAAAATTAATTCACAGTAGGAAACATCTCGTATATTTACAATAGTGTGGTGCACTTCAACTTACCATTAAATCTTCCTTCAATCTTTTTCAACCTGTCTTTAAGGTTTTGAAATTCTACATTTATATTTTTCTCCAGGTTTTGTATCTTAAAAACAATTCGAATACCAATACGTCATAAAAGTTACGCAATATAGTGGAGATAAAATGCCGTATATTGAGCGGATATGTAGTTAATTCGCCCCACCTAGCTATCAAGCACGTACAGGAACACTGATTGAACAAAAGTGAATGAAAGGAGTTTACGAGGGTGTACAAAAAGGATAAAGGAATTTGTATCTCAACATGAATAACCCGACTGATTAATGACCACTAGTATTAACCTGCAAGGGCATCAATCCTGGGGGACGGGGGGGGGGACACTCACCCTCTTTACTTTTTAGACATATGTAAATCTGTAAAATAATTTATATTATTTTACGGCAAGCATCACTTCCGGTGAAATGGTGGACTGTGATTGGCTGAGAAGCACTTTCAACGGCCCATTATTTTCCCGTAATGGACCTGCGGTCCATTACGTAAAAACAAACGCATGCATTTTAAAACAAAACAGGAGAACGAATTGAAAATTTAAAAATTGTAATTTAATGTGCTCTTAATAAGATATCTGCGAATGTTTTTAAGTGAAAAGGAAGGAATACATTGGTAATTTTAATTTTCTTCGACCAAATGTGTACCACGCGGCTAATATGCATTTTAAATCATGCATTTCTTGTTTGCTTCGACTATGAATGTCTATATAAATGCCATATAATAAATTAAACCTTTTATTAACCTCGGTCCGATATATATTTCTTTGTAAAGACCTCGCGCTCGGTTAATAAGAAGTTAATAAATTACGTCTGTTGCTGGCTTTGTTCCTCACTTTTTGGAATGGATTTTGGCTCTTGTTAACCTGCCAAACATACGTCATGACTTACTTCTTTTTTGCTACCGATGGCATCCCATATATTGCCTTTGTTCACATAAAGTATTTTGTTGTCTTCACGATATGAGAGCAGTCCTGGCACTGGTGGTAAATTGTTGAGGCTTTCGTTGTTTTTTACCAAAAGTGTCTGAAAGAATTTAACATTATTAAATAATTAATTTTGCATAAAGTTTTTTGCTTAAAGCGATGGAGTACTTTGCATTATATGCAAACTCCCCTTGATGGCAAAGGCAGAGGCCTTAGAAGGGAAGGAGTGAATTGTACGACTGTAACAAGCAAACATCGTCTTTTCTCACAATCACTCGAGTCTTGGTACGGCTGGGTCGGAGGATGTTGCGTTAAAAGAGAGTGTAGGTCGGGGGATGTTGTAGCTGTTAAAGCGATGGAATAGTTTGAAGATTATATGCGGAGCGTTGTTGGCATGAAGGAAAAGACACTTCAAAGCAAAAGCAAAGGCGCTTTGAAAACGTCCTTGAGTCGCAAACGCCCTTAGATGGCAAAGTTCCAATCAATGGCAAAACACCCTTCGACGGCAAACGCAGAGGACTTCGAAGGCCAGCAGTAAATTGTAAGACTGGGACAAGCAAACATCCTCTTTTCTCACAATTACAAGAGAGTCCAGGTTGGAGGATGTTGCAGCGGATAAAGCGATGGAGTAGTTTGCATTATATGTGGAGCGTTCGCATAAAGGAAAAGACACTTCAAAGCAAAAGCGAGGGCGCTTTGAAGCCAAAAACGACCTTCGATGGCAAACGTCCTTGAGTCGCAAACGCCCTTGGATGGCAAAGTTCCAATCAATGGCAAAACACCCTTCGACAGCAAACGCAGAGGACTTCGAAGGCCAGCAGTAAATTGTAAGACTGGGACAAGCAAACATCCTCTTTTCTCGCAATGACAAGAGAGTCTAGGTTGGAGGATGTTGCAGCGGATAAAGCGATGGAGTAGTTTGCATTATATGCAAACTCCCCTTGATGGCAAAGGCAGAGGCCTTAGAAGGGAAGGAGTGAATTGTACGACTGTAACAAGCGAACGTCCTCTTTTCTCACAATCATTCGAGTCTTCGTACGGCTGGGTCGGAGGATGTTGCATTAAAAGAGAGTGTAGGTCGGGGGATGTTGTAGCTGTTAAAGCGATGGAGTGTCATCGCCATCCGTGGGTGGTTATTTGCCGTCAAAAGGCCTTTGCGATGGAAGTGCCTTTCGCTTCAAAGCGCCCTTGTCTTCGAAGTTGTCTTTTCCTTCATGCGAACGCTGCACATATAATGCTTCAAACTACTCCATGGTTTTATCCGCTGGAACATTCTCCGACCTAGACTTTCTGGTAATGCAACATCCTCCTAACCAAGCCGTGCCTAGTCTCGCGAGTGATTGTGAGAAAAGAGGATGTTTGTTTGTTACATTCGTACAATTCACTCCTTCCCTTCTTCTAAGGCAGAGTGCCTTCTGCCATCAAGGGAAGTTTGCCATCCGTGCATGGGGCGTTTTCCGTCGATCGAGGGGCCTTTTAATTTAAGGTGGCTCGCTATAGTTTATAGAAATGTTGAAAATGCGTAAAACTAGATGATCACCTTTTTGAAGAGATGATGCTCTTTGGAAATCGAAATTTGTATATTTATATATACAGCGACAATCAAACAGCTGGTTGAGATTGGGACATTAGCCCTCCAGGCAGGCCAGTTTGGACGGGGGGTTACAGCATTGCTTCCTGAGGTAAAACTGTTGTAATTTGTAAAGGTGTAGCTGTAAACCAAGGTCCAGCCTCCCCCGTGAGTTTCCATGTCACAGTAAACTTGAAATAATTTACCGGCTGCTGGCCGTATCGAGTAAATACCTGAAATTGCGAATGTATTTGCCGCTAGGATAGCTTTACAAGACTTTCTCGTGATTTCTGAAAAGAATTGAATAATTAAAGGGGAAGTCAAGTCCGTAATGTAAACAAACGGTTTGTTTACATTTTGAACTGCTGTAGTTTTTAAAATATGATGTACTGTCTGAATATCTAACACCATTTTGGTTCGCTATGCTTCTAAATGAATATGAAATAGAGTTTATGTTCAGAAAAATTCGAAACATTCGAAATTTGGGCAATGTTCACATTAGAGGTCCTCACATTGTTATGAGCAGAACCGATGCGCAGAACGGACTTGACTTCCCCTTTAAAGTAAATTTAAAACTGAACCATGTGGATGACGTCGGTGGCGCAGTCGTCAGAGCAAGCGCCCACGGAAATCAAAAGCGTGCACAGAGGACTTGGGACTAGTCTGGCAAGCGCCTTTCACTTCTGAGGTCGTGGGTCCGATTCTCGCTACGGACGTATGCGAAAAGAGTCTGTCAACGCTATAGCGAAAGTCGTGGGTTTTCTCCGGGCATTCTGGTTTCCTCCCAAAGGGGAAAGTTGGCAGGATTGGTTAGGATAAACACAGTTTGGAAAAGTAATATCACAATTGTTGTAAAGAAAAATAGTCTAAGCTAAGTAATTATAAAATAGCCTTTTAAAAACACGGGCGCTGATTGGTTAAAAACTAAAAACAAACTGTTTCTATAACTCGATAGAAACACGGGACATTTTCACGCGGGTTGCGTGGATTGCACGGGAGTTTAAAAGACAAAATACAAACAATATTTAATCACAATTTTGAAACTGAAAGTTGAAAAACGTCCCGAAACGCCGAAGAACCGTTAAAAAAAAGCAACTATTTTGCTGACTTAGAAAGCGAAGATCTAAAGCACAAAGTATAATTATAGCACACGTTGTATCTGTTTGACTGTTTACCAAGGTAAGATATTTTAATTTTACTTTGTCTTTTTAAAAAAATGTTTCCTCGCGACGTTTTTAATCATGTTTACTATAGTTTTTAAGGTGGCTCGCTACAGTTTATAGAAATATTGAAAATGCGTAAACTAGATCACCTTTTTGAAGAGATGATGCTCTTTACAAATCGAAATTTGTATATTATATATACAGCCGCATTACAGCGACAATCAAACAGTCGAAAATTGGTCAGAAAAGTGACGTCACCACTGTTGCTATGGCAACAATGACGATTCAAGATGGCCGATATTTTGGCTTTGAACGCATTTTACTTTAAAAAAGGTCGGTTACCCCCATTTTTCATTTCAGAAAACATTTTCTTATAGTACAATACACTATCTGACCAATTTTAAAAAATTTCTGTAATGCCAAATTTTTAAAAAATTTATAAACATGGTTTTTCGAAATAATTCTTTTTTTGCATTATAGAATTTTTTTAAAATTGGTCAGATAGTGTATTGTACTATAAGCAAATGTTTTCTGAAATAAAAAAATGGGGGTAACTGACCTTTTTTTAATTAAAGTAAAACGCGTTCAAAGCCAAAATATCGGCCATCTTGAATCGTCATTGTTGCCATAGCAACAGTGGTGACGTCACTTTTCTGACCAATTTTCGACTGTTTGATTGTCGCTTGTATATATAATATACAAATTTCGATTTGTAAAGAGCATCATCTCTTCAAAAAGGTGATCTAGTTTGCGCATTTCAACCGATTTCTATAAACTGTAGCGAGCCACCTTAATCATGTTTAAACGTTCACTAACTATTTATAACAGTGCTTTCTTTGCATGCAAGCATGTACGTTGTTGAGTGATATACTTTAGTAAAGTAAGACAAGTAAGCCTGTTAAGTGCTGTCTGTTGTTTTGACAGCGATATACTTGTTTACTTCGCTATGCTTTTATAATTATTCTTTACACGAACGTATATTCCTCTACGAGGAACGAGTTTGAGTCTATGACGTAGGCTAATATATATTAAGGTGGAATTAATATTTGAATGAAAGCAATTAAAATCAATGAATTTATCTGTTCTATTGTTTTTAAAAGGCTATTTAATAAAGGAAATAGAATAACATTTTTTCCGTGTTCCTACAGAGTTTATAGAAACAATTGTGAAAGTTTGGGAGAAACTCGAAATTGAAACACGCAATTTCTCGTTTCTACCAAACTTTCACGCGTGTTTCTATAACTCTATAGAAACACGGAAAATGTTTTCTATTTCTTTATAAGGGTAAAAACGTTGTGTAATCGGTCACCAAAAAGCCCCAATGGGGAGTGAGCTGAATAATAACAATGTATATCGCAGTGTATCTTGAAATGATTTATTGACCGCAACAGGCTTGATCCAGTAAATTTATGAAATTTGGAATTTATTTGCTGCTATAGAATGTCGATATACAGGACTTTCCATGGTTTGACTTTTACCCATAAACTGGGCTGGGCAGTCAGCTAAACATATATCCTGAGATTGTGTGTCACACTACAAATGACAGTTCAAACTTCAAGCCTGTATGTTTGTCAGTTTTGAAATTCAAACTGGCGAGGATTTATTGCCATAACAGTGTCTTATATACATGTATATTTTGACAAAAATACTCTTTAATGTTTGCTTTTCTCTACAATGATCTGAGTATTTAAATAAAAATGTTGCAAGCAAGTTTACAATAGCTAATGGTTTGAAAATTAATTCACAGTAGGAAACATCTCGTATATTTACAATAGTGTGGTGCACTTCAACTTACCATTAATCTTCCTTCAATCTTTTTCAACCTGTCTTTAAGGTTTTGAAATTCTACATTTATATTTTTCTCCAGGTTTTGTATCTTAAAAACAATTCGAATACCAATACGTCATAAAAGTTACGCAATATAGTGGAGATAAAATGCCGTATATTGAGCGGATATGTAGTTAATTCGCCCCACCTAGCTATCAAGCACGTACAGGAACACTGATTGAACAAAAGTGAATGAAAGGAGTTTACGAGGGTGTACAAAAAGGATAAAGGAATTTGTATCTCAACATGAATAACCCGACTGATTAATGACCACTAGTATTAACCTGCAAGGGCATCAATCCTGAAGGACGGGGGGGGGGACACTCACCCTCTTTACTTTTTAGACATATGTAAATCTGTAAAATAATTTATATTATTTTACGGCAAGCATCACTTCCGGTGAAATGGTGGACTGTGATTGGCTGAGAAGCACTTTCAACGGCCCATTATTTTCCCGTAATGGACCTGCGGTCCATTACGTAAAAACAAACGCATGCATTTTAAAACAAAACAGGAGAACGAATTGAAAATTTAAAAATTGTAATTTAATGTGCTCTTAATAAGATATCTGCGAATGTTTTTAAGTGAAAAGGAAGGAATACATTGGTAATTTTAATTTTCTTCGACCAAATGTGTACCACGCGGCTAATATGCATTTTAAATCATGCATTTCTTGTTTGCTTCGACTATGAATGTCTATATAAATGCCATATAATAAATTAAACCTTTTATTAACCTCGGTCCGATATATATTTCTTTGTAAAGACCTCGCGCTCGGTTAATAAGAAGTTAATAAATTACGTCTGTTGCTGGCTTTGTTCCTCACTTTTTGGAATGGATTTTGGCTCTTGTTAACCTGCCAAACATACGTCATGACTTACTTCTTTTTTGCTACCGATGGCATCCCATATATTGCCTTTGTTCACATAAAGTATTTTGTTGTCTTCACGATATGAGAGCAGTCCTGGCACTGGTGGTAAATTGTTGAGGCTTTCGTTGTTTTTTACCAAAAGTGTCTGAAAGAATTTAACATTATTAAATAATTAATTTTGCATAAAGTTTTTTCATGATTGTTGGTTATAATCAAGCGTCCTGGACTTCAAGACTGAAAATAAATTGGGAGAAGTGGATTTCACGTTACTTCCAAGCCCAGCATATTACTATAGGTATTAATAGCATGGCTTCGAGTGCAATTTGGATATAACATGCACGAGTGAGTTTTTCAAAGACCTCAAAATAGCACGAGTCCGAAGGACGAGTGCTATTTGAGGTCTTTGAAAAACTCACAAGTGCATGTTTATCCAAATTTCACGAGAAACCATGCTATTACTTATTAATAATTTACATAAAAATGTTCGAGACAATTGTAGTTTTAACTTACGCGTTTATAGCGAACATTCCACTGGCAAAGTTTTCCTGGCCTTGTTATATCACATTATACAACGCTAACAGCTTGAAAACTCCACTCAACTATGTATTTTTTGTTAGTCTTGTTTAAGGTAAATGCTTTTCCATTTAAAAATAAAGATAAAAGCCGTATTTTCCACGCGAAGGCAACTTTTACTTTGTGTAGCGCGGCGCCATGTTTGTTTTGTTTTCAAGCAATCTGTGACCGTTACTTCTTTAAAGTAAATTGCTTTAAACTGATTGGTTGATTTAATCATCACAATGTTTTCCCACCAATCAGATCAGTTTGTTACAGATTTTTGCACTGTGATTACAGAAAATTGCACTGTGATTACAAAAAATTGCACTGTAATTACAGAAAATTGCACTGTGATTACAGAAAATTGCACTGCTGTTTGGGATTAACTGCACTGAAATCAACCAATCACAGTCGAGTAATATCTTTATGTATATTATTATAAGAGAAACAAAAAATGCGTATTTAAATCAGTACCGTATTTACTTACACCTTCATTCAAGAATGTCTGAAATTGTTCTGAACATGCACCCTGTATAAAAAAAAGTCATATTTATAAACTAATCTGATTATGTTAATGTCATGATCTCTTGGGCAAGCATTGCGTGCATGGTTGCAAATGCATCTCCACCACTATTTTGGCACGTGCATCTCCTTCAATCTTGTTCTATTTGATGTGCTGTATACCGTGTTCTTGGAGATATTTAAGGACAAAGTTTGGTGACCATCATCGTATACTGTCATCAACAAGAATGCTGAGCAACCTGTTGCCAGACGCTTTAACAGTGCAACTGGCAAACACGATGTTGGGTTATTTTCACCATGTTGGGTTATTACATTTATTTTCATTTCTAAAACATGACTCGCTCAAGTATTGAAGAAAGTGAAGCAATGTTAACATGCAGTCATATGTCAATTAACAAATATAAAACATTTTCCGTGTTGATATACAGTTATATCAACACGAGTGGAAATTGGGAAAACGAGAAATTGTGTGGAAACACGACGCCCGAAGGGCGGAGTGTTTTCACACAATTTCGAGTTTTCCCAACTTCCACGAGTGTTGATATAATGATATATCAATACGGAAAAAATGTTTTATATTTGTTTTATAATATAGCAATGTCAAAAGCCCGAAGAATAAGAAAAAGTTCCGTGTTTACAAGCGGCGGAAAATTTCCCGTGTTGACATGGAGTTATATCAACACGGCTCTTAGCCAATCAGCGTTCAGAATTTACAAATGCTATATTATAATACAATATGTAAATCGGTCAGAGTCACTATCTTGAGTATTTTCCGATTTGTTAGAAGGCGAATGGTGTCTCCGAAGAAAGTGCATGTGCAGACAACATGAAAATTTAAACTGCAGAAAATTACACACAAGCAGTTATCAAAGGAGTGGTAAGGGACATGTGTGACAACTTTGGCCAGGAGTTTTGTATTTAACGTTGGGTAAATTTTACTTTTGAATGGTTGGATCAGCAAAATCTTTACCAAGAAAACAATTCTCTTCGGTGGCACCCACTCAATAATGGCAGGCCCCCAATTCTTTTAATCGTTCTTTTTTTGCTAAATTACTATCTTTACCACAAAATTTCCCACACAATACCTTATGAGCAGTACCGGTCTTTTTGTCGATATAGTACGTTTCAAATTTTCCAGTCTCTGTCTTCATCTTAAACTCCATACATCTTTTCCACAGTCGTTGAGGCATGCGCGTTCGTATACTCGCTGCCACTGATTATAATGATATTAATGAACTTAATGAGAAATTATCTCTGGAAGTCTCTAACGTTCAAAACTGGGCCATTACCAATAAACTACCTCTCAATACCACTAAGACCAAAACCATTCTGATTTCTGGTAAACGTCTTAAAGCTAAGCTTACTCCTGAAAATCAAACTCTCAATATTAAATTGAACGATGATTCATTAGAACAAGAGCACACTGTGAAATTACTGGGCTTTAATATTGATGAAGATTTAAACTTTGACACTCATGTTGATATAATTGCAATGAAACTATCGAAACGTATTGGAATATTGAAATCTATAAAATGCTACCTGCCTCGAAAGGAACGTATTCTTTTCTACAATGCTATGATCAAACCTCTTATTCTCTATTGTAGTATAACCTGGACATATTGTACTGGACATATTGGACTCTATTGTAGTATAAACTGTAGTAAGAACAATATCACAAAAATTTTCAAACTTCAAAAACGCTGCACCAGAATTATCCTTGACGCTGAACCTCGCCATTCTTCGATTAATCTATTTAATAATCTTGGTTGGTTACCTTTTTACGTAGAGTCGGATATTAGAAAATGTATTATGATCTACAAGAGTACTATTAATGCTACTCCAGAGTACTTAAACGGACTATTAAATTTAAATAGCCAACAACATTCGAGGAACACTCGCAGTGCTGATTTAAGTTTAGTAACTCCGAAATACAATAGAGCTACAGAAGCAGGAAGAACGTTTTCTATAACCGCTATAGGCCTCTGGAACAAATTACCTTTAAGTTTCCGTTCTGCTAGCTCCATTAACTGTTTTAAATACTTATTATATAATTGCTTCCGTACGCACCAGAGTGAATTTAAACAATTTACTTCTTTTCCTGATTTCAAATTTAAGTAATATATAATTGTAATATAGCTATATAATGTTCTCTTTTATATAAATGTAATGTCATATATACCTCATGTAAGATAACCATTTTAATTAAGTAAACTTGAAAGTCTGAATATCGATTTATAATCATAGATATATATATATATATATATATATATATATATATATATATATATATATATATATATATATATATATATATATATATATATATATATATAATATAAGTAGTGATGTAGGTAAGTGATGTGGGTATCCTGGATAAATATAATTATTACTATTATTATTATTATTAAGAACATTGCAGCACTCATGGTAGTGGATTTTCTTGTGGACTCTTTGTGCAGTCGATGCTCCAATCAATGTAATAGTTGGCAACTTATTTAACAATTTGTATTCAAGGATATTGTATTCAGAGATGCTTTGAGAAATAAACTTGTGAATACTAATACTGGTCAAATTAAAGCTGCAAAATTTAATTACTATTGTATTTGCTTATTGTCTTGACTACCGACTACTTACTAATGAAATGTTCATGCAAATTTACATTTGTTCAGTGATTCCTCAACACTTACTTCCTTCACTATTACACCTTTAGGTCTCATCTCCCAATGCACCTGTTTCCTATTTGGTAATTTTATCACAAATACTTCTTTGGCCTGGAAGTATTCAAACTTATATGAAACAAGACAGAAAGCTATTTGCTTTTAACTGCTAAAAATTCACGAGAACAAGGCTCCTGGGCCAATCAGGGATTTGAGACATGTATCAAAATGGATTTATTTTCTTCATTTTGACAAGCTAAACCCACAACACTCTGAATCTACAATATCTCTCCATTATTTAAATTGTAGAAATGCAGATTAAAAATGCAGATGTATTGACAACAACACGAGTTGATAAAGATCTTTAAGTACTATTTAAAACACGCGTAGGAGTGTTTTATCACATATAAAACGCGAGGCGTAGCCGAGCGTTTTATATGTGATAAAACACGACTACAAGTGCTTTAAATGGCTTAAAAAAACGACTCATCTTATACGAGTTTATTGGCGAAGTAATTTTTAAAATAAACTTTGTCTAAACCGAGAAAATCGAAGCTAAAGTTTATGTAAATTAACATATAAATAACATATAATTTTTTATCACATATAAAACCACGACACGCTTATGATTTTTCTTTGTGTTTTGCTCCTGAGTTTTTTAAGGTAATATAAACTAACACAACAACTACAGGTGCATATTGACTGTTGTACTCTTGATGACTGATGGGCAAAGCTTCATAGCATTTACAATCTTGTGTTGAATTTGTACAGTCTTCAGTACAACTGAAATACAATATACAAAAATTATAGTGAATATTTTCAAACCAATTTTCAGGGCTTTGGCCACAACAATATACATACATTATGTACACATTTTATTTCGCATTTGAAACAAACACAGTACACCACATCAGATAATATCTGTTTGTTTGGTTTCATCCCACAACCATGGATAATGAAATAAATGGATAGGACTCTAGCTGAAGTCACAGTCTAAACCCAGTTGCAATCTGTGACGTCACGCGTTGCCAAAGTTCTTGGCTTTCTTGTTGTTTCGCTATATTTTCCGCTTTAAAAGAGTAATATTGAAGCATAAACTGGTCTAATGTTTTAAAAACATGCCTAAACTACGACAAAGTATTCAAGGTAAATGTTTTTCGTCTTTGTTTTGTATTGTTTTACATTTGTAGCTACGAAATTGGCGTCCCCAATTTTAATGGGATCCATTTTTCACTGTTTAGTGCCTGAAATATTTGCTAAAATTGACTGGAAATACTTAGAGATTTCATCATAGAATGGCGTAGTTATAATTATTTGCTCTTTGACTAGAATGTTTAGCTGTATTATTGCTAAACATGCCGTTTTTGAGAATTTGGTGTTCAACTAGGTTTCCAACATCTAACCACGCCATCATCCCATTGAAAACATTAGGTCACGTCAGCTAGTTTCCTATCCATTTATTTTATTATCCATGCTACAACACAGCCACCCTGCATGAAACCTCCAAACCGAAATAGATGGCCTCAGTGCACATTAATTCCATTCACTCCATATATCCGGCGTGAGGTTACAAAATTGCTTGTGTATTGGTGTAAGATCACTAAAAAAGAAGTGATAAGTGTAACAACAGTAAGTTTGTGCCTGAATTGATTGTCATACAGTATGTATATTCACTGAGTATAACTTGAAGAAATATATTATGTTATTAAATCAGTATATAAAACATGCCAGGTTAGCCATTCTAACATGGATTTTGGTCCCCAAAGTTAAAATCTCCATTGTATTGGCGTGAACTATCACATATGTTGGCGTATCTCCGGCGTAGTTTACATGGAAAGCACCCTGGCCAGTTAGTCTATTATAACAAATTTGCCAGCCAAGGCATAAAATGTCAATTACATTTTAACTGCACACTATGGTCATGTTATGCCGCTTAAAACCCACCTAGTCACTCAAAAACTTAAGTAATTGTTTTAGTACGGTAGTAAAAGACTATTTTATACTGAAAAATCACAATTACTTCGTAATCTGCAGAGTATAGTGCTGTGTTCTGACGTTCGGTCGGATCTGATATTTCGACGATCAAAACCAATGGGTGAAAATATCAAATTATTTACCTGCGATTTAGTTTCTTTGAATTCGAATGTTCTTCATTCTTCTATGATGTGTGCTTGTTCTTCAAATACCAGATTTGACTTGATTTCTTCGCGTACTTAGCGAGTATAACGTGAAACTCCGAAAAATGTCAGTTTTACAATAGAATCTATAGACATATAGCTTTTATATGTTTCATTAGCGTAGTCAGCCACACCGCTGACCATCACTTCTCGCGCCCTCGTGCACTTATAACTTGTTACTATATGTGGAAACTGGATTTAACAAATTAAAACATTTGATATTCAATAAACTTTATATACATCTTTATATTCATGAAATGTTATATTATCTATGACTATATATACTTGCAAATTTGTGCATGCTACCAGCTGTAAAGGCTTGATTCCACGAGCGCTTTTTCTCGGCGAAATGCGAATTATTTCGCCTGTTTTTTCTGAATTGCGACTACACGAATAAATTATTTATACTTGATTGCTCACAATTCAAAAGAAACAAGTGAAATACTTCGCATTTCGCCGAGAAAAAGCGCTCGTGGAATCAGGCCATTAAGAATTCTTTAGCGAAATCATTATTAAGATTCTTGCATATTAAATTTGTCTGGTTGTGTTGGTGTTATCTGTATTGAAATAACTAAATTGGTCAGTTTATGTCAGATCATGGTTATAGGTAGTCATATAACCAATCATGGCGATCAAGATTGTTCATATTTATCGTCATTATAACGTTAATTTTGTTCTCTCTGTATACCATTCTACTTCATATATCTTTGTGTACAGCCAAAGAAAAAGTAACTTCAGACGAAGGGCTTTAGCTCGAAACGTCGAAATTCTCCTTATATTTTTCAGGTAGTTGCATTCCTACAAACGAAAGCTTGTTCATATTCATGAAATGTTATTATATATCACTAGCTATATTTGCAAAAGTAAACCACTTTTGTGTTTAGCAATTGTTTAGGGAAATCATTATTAAAATTCTTGCATACATTTAATTACAATCTTCTGTAAGTTTAACAATTGTTCAGTAATCTGTCTATACACTGTATATTTGATACCGAAATCTTGGACCTTTGGGACTAAAGGACTAAATGGGTTGATTTAACATCATTATAACGATGGTAAGTATTTCTTTTTATGATTTAGTTTCAAGTGTAAGTTGTGTATTGAGCAAGAGGCGTTCGCTGCTTCCAGAATTTGCCTGCAATTATAATTCCAACACAGAGGCTAAAGCCCGTTTTCCACACACGTATTTCGCCGGAGCTGGCGAAAAACTTCGCCACCCAAAAAGTTCATTTGTTGTTCTTTCGCGCCGTCAACGAAAGGTCAAACAGAAGTTGAAAATTTTAAGCAACTGTAGCAGGAGAACAAATTTCTTCAGCGGCGAATGAATGTAAAAAATGATTTCTTTGTCAAAATTTTTCGCCAGCGGCGGCGAAATACGTGAGTGGAAAACGGGCTTAAGACGCAACAGTAAATACTCTTTGTATACTTTGAACACTATTTTATTAGTTTGTGATTATAATTACTTTACTGATTATATATCTATAATTTCTGTATACAATTCTACTACATATATCTTCGTGTATACATGAACATAGTTATTAGATGAGATGTTTATGATATCGAGCGGAACGCGCGAGGCAGATAGCACATAACAAAACTTGATAATTCCGGATTACATCACAACTGTAATAATGCTTTGTCATACAAAATGACGTTTAGTTGTCAAAAGACAATTATACCAGAAATATTACTATCTTGGATTTCAAAAAACTTTTGATCTTGTCGACGATAGACTCGATTTTAAAACAAAATTAAATAAGGCGCTCTATGGAGCATTAACTCGCTGGGGGCTATACAAATGAAAACTAAACTTTGTCACCATATTCGCATTGTGCCCCATTAACATTGGACCCTACTTTATTATTTTAATATCTCATACCAGTCGATTTTGCTTGTCAAGGGGAGAGTGCTGCCGCTCTCGAATTCGCTAGATATGTATTGCAGCAGGGCGGTTATGTTTGCAGGTACAATCACTTTCAGAAGTTGTTGGGACACATTGCAAGTGATTTTTACAGTTTGTAAGTGGATCATTACAGTTTTTACACCCAATACCGCCCCCCCCCCGTCCCCCTACAATGTTGTTTAAACCAAAACACATCAAACCTGACGAGAAATTGAACATAACATTGAACAGGGGGCGGGGGTTGTGGCATCTGTCCCAAGACTTTTGAAACTGATTGTAAGTGGGTCAGTTTGAAGTTTTTGTTAGTATAATGACTCCAGTTCGGGATTTTATAGAACCATGGAGACACAGTACTAAAATGTGACACTGCCCTACAAATAAAACTTCAGGCGTTTCCGCCTGCAAGTAAAGTTATATTTAGTACGCTACATTTTTCTGTCGGCCGCCAGTTGGTCCGTACGCTAGGATTAATTAAACTGCGCTTTAAAAACTATCAAAATGAAGAGAGAAGTGAGACGAATCCACTGGTATACGACCGAAAAAAGAGAAAACCAACAATACTAAAGTTATCAAATACCAAGCTAGGATAAAATGTACTGCATTTTTGGCTTTCAAAGACAAAAGCCGTAAATCGCTAGAATACTGTTGTTTAGTAATCTCTGAATCGAGCGGTTGTATTTTTATCCTTGTTGCGCCATTAATAGGCATTACAAATACAACATCATATTTCACACTACAGTTTTCGTGTTTCCACAGTTAACTATTAGGAACTATTGTTGGATAAATATTATATTAATATGACACCAATATGCTTCTCATAAAGTAGTTATCTATTGAAACTACCGATACGTTGTGTAGTTTAAGTTATAACCTTTTACCTTGAAATTGTTTTTGGCTCGTTTATATTCAGATTCAGTATATTATGATCGTGAACGGGAATTCAACGATCCACATTGGTGGATCGTTGAATTCCCGATCCACATTAACTAAACTAGCCACGATCCACATTAACTAAACTAGCAAGAATGTCCAGAGTTAGACACAATGCAAAATCCATAGAAAACAGGTACCATTCGTTGAAAATTTTAATGAAATTGTTTGAAACATTTTGCCCACTCCACAAAAGGCCGCCATTTTGCATGAAAAGGATAAACTGGGTTTTTATTAAGCAGCTCACTAATATTCTATTTTGTGGCTATCGACGATTGGAGATCTACTATGAGAGATTGCCGATTCATGAAAAATGCGTGCCGAAACCTAACCAGCGAGTAATTAACAGAAATGAATGTATCAAAGGCTTTCTGGACATGGGTGAAGTGCTTTCTTACGGAGCGAACTCAATAAGTGGATTTTCATATGGTGTTATGTCTGCAAGTGCCCCATGCCCAGCTGGCTCATTTTCCCAACTCTATTCAATATTCGTACAAATGATTTGGAAGACTTGTTGTTGTACATGACACGGCCTCCTCGGCTATGGAAACAATACCCAATCAAGACAAGCAATATGACTACAATGTCCATTGCCCGGTTGGTAATAGCGATCGACCTTTAACAGAGATCATCGAACTGTGTGAAGATGTAATTAGTATTGATACAGATAATAGTTTAAACAAAACCCTGCAGGAAAACTGTTCATTACTTAAAACCCAACAGAAGACCAACAAAGTGTTACATTAAAATCAACCCACTGTAATAAAGCAGCGGAATCAGGGTGTGAAATTAATACTATTACTAATCTGGCGAATGGCGAATCTCTTGCTCCCGAAACATACCAATCGAAGGAAGAATTGTCCCATTCCATGCCAGCGAAAACAGTTAATTCAACTTTAAAAACGCAATCAGAAAAATCGGGTCCCTCCGAACAGGTCAGGGCAAAAAGCAGTGAATTATTTTTCGGACAAACGCCAAAACAAAACACCGCAAATAAGGTCAAAGGTCACAAGTCAATCAAGTGTACAAAACGTTTATCGAAAGAGATATATTACGACAACAATATATCTGGGCTAATCGATAAAAGTGAAATAAATTGCAACCCAGGGGTGCCTGTCAGACATGCGGAGTGGGTGGGACGGCTACCTTTGATTGAATCTTCATATAAGTCTGCATCGTTAAGAAAATCTACGACTTTAAACGATTTCCAGCGATCGTGTAAGAGAAATTTTCGGAAGAGTCGTTCAAACCACCGTCCCCGGGACTGGCAGAGGTACCTCGAATTTGTTCGGAAAACGTTACATCCTCGTGTGACTCGGCCTCCAATTCGCCTACGAACAACAAAGTAATTCCTATTGTTATGTCACAATGTCGGACCATAAGTCATCGCATTGCAAGTTACAATAATATACGTAAACGAACTAGTAATCCATGCAACCTGGTAAATGTCCCTGTAACTACTAGTAACCTGGAAAATCACCGAGACTACTGCGCTGTTCCATCTCTCTTTGTTACCAATTTGAGAAACAGAAAAACAGTCCATGCGTATAATAATTTAATCCCACTACAGGCTAGTGAGAACCACACTAGCAGAAATACGTGTAGTACCCCATTAACCCCAAACGATCAGATATCAGTTCCCTCTAGTCTCAACATTGTTCACTTAAACATTCGCTCGTTAAGAAATATCGTTCACCTTACTGAGGTCAAGGAACTAGTAAAGTTAAATAATATCGATGTCCTCACAATTTCCGAATCGTGGTTAAATTCCTCAGTAACGAACCGTGAGATTGCAATCGACGATTATAAGATCCACAGACTTGACCGGTTACACAAGAAAGGTGGAGGTGTCTGTGCTTATATCAAGAAGAATATTAAAGCAACTGTCTTAAAAGATTTATCGAAGGTGTCAGTCTCTAACTTTCATCAACTATGGATAAATCTACAATGCCAAAAAACAAATCAATAATAATTTGTGTAACCTACCGACCACCTGACACTTCTCTAAATTGTTTCGAAGATTTACTTAAGCCAAATTATGTTCAGGCTTTAACTTTGAATAAACAGATTTTAGTGCTCGGTGACTTAAATTGCAACATGCTAGAAAACGGCCAAGAGCGGAGAGCGCTAACAAATTTTTCTACAGAATTAAATCTCACACAGATTATTAAAACTCCAACTAGAATCACGGCGACGTCCCAAACGCTTATTGATGTTATTCTAGTCTCATCCACAGCACTTGTTCTTGAGAGTGGTGTTATTAACACTTCTATCAGTGACCACTTACCAGTGTACGTCCTACTAAAGTTAAAGGCCCCAAAGATGCCAGCATGTTACATTACAACTAGGAGTTATAAAAACTATAATCCCTCACTATTTTCCTCTGACCTTGTCACTAAATCGGATCGTCTGTTATCCATATTATCCAACACCAACGTTAATACAATACTCGAAACCTTCAAAGATGTTCTTCACTCAACTCTCGACGTGCATGCACCGTTAAAAACCTTCAAAATCCGAAATCGATCATGTCCATATGTCACCAATGAAATAAAAGAACTCATGAAGTCTCGTGACCTACACCTCCGTCGGTTTCAACTGACACGTGATGAAGGTGATTGGGTAGTTTACAAAGAATATCGTAATAACGTAAAAACCAAAATTAAAGCCGCAGCGAAGGACCACACCTTCAACGAAGTAAGAGAACATAAACACAATTCGAGATCCCTATGGAAAATAATTAATAATATAATTCCCTCGAAGGAAAAGGAAACACAAGTTTATAGTAAAGATCCAAAAACAGTTGCAGAAGATTTCAACCTTTTTTTTACTTCTGTGGGACGGAACGCTGCTGCGACAGCCGAAAGTTTAGCCAAAGACAACAATGTTGTACTGTCAAATCCTCTGTCAAATGTAATCACTTATCCATCTGATCAACTGTTCAATTTCCAATCCGTTACTTGTACAGAGGTTCAACGCATTATCATGGCTATGCCAAGTAATAAGTCACCAGGACCAGATAAAATAGGCATGCGGGTCATCAAAGACTGTCTTCCAATCATACTGGGTCCTCTTACGCATATGATAAATTGCTCTCTAATGACAAGCACATTCCCTGACCTATGGAAGATTTCTGAAGTTATACCCCTACTAAAAGAAGGAGACCACGAGATAGCCTCAAACAATCGGCCTCTCTCACTACTCGAGGTAGTTTCAAAAGTTTGTGAAAAAGTTGTTCTAAATCAATTTAGCTCCTACCTCAAAGAATTTAATCGCATATCGTCACATCAAAGCGGGAATAGGAGTCTTCACTCCACCGAAACCTTAAACATATTTGTTACCGATACGATGTTGGAAGCCATAGACAACAAAAATCTAACGGCACTAATCTTATTGGATTTATCCAAGGCATTTGACAGTGTCAGTCATTCGATTTTATTACACAAATTGAGTTGTATCGGTGCTTCACCCGAAGCTGTTAAATGGTTCCAAGACTATTTAACAGGCAGATCCCAATACGTGCGCATTGGATCCACCAAGTCATCAGCTCGCCCAATAACCCATGGCGTTTCACAAGGTGCAATACTATCACCACTTCTGTTTTGCATCTATATTAATGATCTGCCAGGGAGCATACAATCGTGTAACCTTGATTCATACGTAGACGACTCAAAGCTTTACAAATCATTCTGCATCTACGACTTGGAACAGACAACTATCAATTTAGAGGCAGATCTACAAATAGCAGCCAAGTGGTGTTTGGAGCATCAATTACTGATCAATCCAGAAAAAACTAAATTCCTTGTAGTCGGTTCAAGACCCATGCTGCAGAATGTACCTACAGAAATATCGCTAACATTTTTAGGAAAGACTATAAGACCTGTTTTATTAGCTAAAGATTTGGGAATCAATTTGGATTCGTACCTATCCTACGACGACCACATATCTAAACTCGTTTCGTCGTGTATGAGAAAACTATGTCAAATAAATCGCATGAAGGATAGTTTCGATAATGAAACATTAAAATTGGTCATTGAGACACTTGTAATTAACAAGCTTCTGTACTGCTCTACGGTGTGGTCCAACACGTCATCTAACAATATCAATAAACTTCAATCAGTGCAGAACTTCGCGTGCAGAGTTATATCAGGGGTAGGAAAGTTCGATCACATAACTCCGGCGTTGCGCGAACTAAATTGGTTGCCAGTGGAAAAGTTATTATTGGAAAGGGATACTGTAATGGCTTACACGTGTTTTAATGGACTTGCACCTGACTACCTAGTAGATAAATTTATAAAGCGTTCCGACATACATGATCGATCGACAAGAAATCATGACCTCTTGGACATCCCTCTGTATAAATCTGCTGCAGGTCAAAGAACATTTAATTACCGGGGTGTTAAAATATGGAATGACTTGGATGATAAACTAAAAAATATTACATCAATAACAATTTTTAAGAAAAATGGGAGATTTTACTAAAAGAATCCTATTAAATACATTTAATATTTCATACTCTTTGTACATATTTTAACTAATTTTAAATAAGTATATGTACCATAGGTAGTTTTAGAAGTAATTTATAGTAATTTTAATATGTAATGTAGTGTTGAAAAGCCCTTAGGGGAGCACGCAATAAAGTATCTATCTATCTATCTAAGACACGTTAACAAACAACAACCCTACAAATACGCACAAATTTACGCGGATGACTGCACCATTGATGAAGTTGTTGCAAACGAAGCTCTTTCAAACATGCAGGAGTCAACAAATCAAGTGATGAATTGAGCCAATGATAATAAAATGGCGGTAAATCCAAAGGAAACAAAGGACATGCAGTGGATCAGTTTTTCCCAATCTTCTCCTGAACCTCCACCCATACAAACAGACGGAAATGAAATAGAAAGAGTAAACATCTTCAAACTTCTTGGTGTATGGAATAATTAGGAAAAACATAATTAGGAAAAACATAGAAGCCATGCAGGACACAAACAGTTGCAACTGTAGAAATAAGAATATATGCCCACTTTAGGGACAATGAATGACAGAGGTATAGTTGTGCTGGGCCTATAGTACACAAGGCCTAGCACAACTACGCTAAAATAAAATCCAAATAAAATAACCCAATAAAATCTACGATAATAACCCAAATAAAAGCTACGATACCTTTTAAAACGTCGAAAAAGCGTCAAAATGACAGCCAATGAGACTGGTAATCGTTCATTTGAAACGCCATCGAAAACGTCAAGCACGGATCCAGCGTCGTCCCATTCAAAAATTGAATAAAATTGCAAAAACGTTTCGTATTTTTCTCTCGTTACAAATTTGTTTTGTACGTTAAAATATTGTTAGTATACAGTAAAAGTATCGTAGATTTTAGTTCTGTTATTATTTTAGCGTAGTTGTAAAGATATTTGAAGTGTTTTGGATTGTTTGAAGGTATATGTATCGATAGTTTGATTGCATTTGCCTATACCTTAGAAAATAATACAACTACACTGTACCTCGCCCGCGCGCAGGCAGGCAGGCATGCAATCATAACATTGGGCTGCCTATGCCTGTAACCATGAAAACATTTAGGAACAATGAATGACAAAGGGCCTGTAGTATACGAGGCCCAGCATATTTAAAGAACGAAATCATAACCTAATTAAATCTAATTCCACTCATAAAACAATACTGAACGATATAGAACGTTGGAAATGAAAATCAAGATTTCATCATAATGTTACAAGGCTTTATTTATAGGTAGTGAATCGTTACAACAATCTTAAATAAGTATCAGTTCTTAATATAACGTTCGTCTTCTTGCAGTAGTTTCCTAAAGTTCACTTCATTTCACTTTGCTCATCAGTCTTCACTTTACATCACTTTACTGGTCAGTCCACTGAGAATCCACTGAGGAATCATCCACTGAGAATTCATCCACTGACGACTTCAGGTTGTGCACGCCCTTTTATACTAACGGTTGAGGGGATCTTTGTCCACGTGATGTAGCAAGTGGTGTGATTTGTATCCAGCCAATCAACGTTGAAGTTTGAAAGTGTGGGTTGGCGTTAGTAGCTCGTTCCAGCTCTCAAATTCTGTTTATTTAAGGCGTTGTCGCACTGGTCGAGTTGTTTCGCTGTTCAATCGATCATCATTAAAACATGTTCACAACTTAAAATACTCATCAAAATATCATAGTAAAAACTTCAACCTTTGACAACCTATACCTATGTGAACCTTACTTTACCTACTAAACTAAATTTACTTACAATTTTATTGAACCAAGATTTTGATGACGTAATGTTATAATTACTCAACCGCGCGAAATATACCGAAGAATGATTGACAGAAAGGCCCTAAGCATGCACATTTTCATGTCAAAGAAGAACCAGCCTTGGACTTTGAATTATGTAAACACAACAGCCCACCATGCAAGGTTATCGCCCAATTTTGACAAATTGACAAATTATTTATCTTGCCTAATGGACAGATAATTGACATTTTTACACAAGTCCGAAATGATATATACTTTATCTGAGTTTTACAGCAAAAATGCTCATTATCTCTCCATTTGACGTAACTAGTATCTATAATTACCTGGGGTGCAAATTGAAGTATTTTTATACTATTTAGATATACTTTCGTAACAATAACATAATTGGTGAATCCTAAGCATGCAAGTGTTTGTGTGTTTATCAAAAAAAGATCAATTTTTTCCGTCCTGTAACCATGAAAAAAAGTTTCAGGTAAAAACGAAGGGAATGCATGTATATTTCTGGAACGCCTACGTTTCAATCACAACCATTTATTTGGTAATATTGAAGAAAATAAAGAGTACTGAATGGCATTAAAACTAACTGACATTAGTTGACGCGGGAAGGACAAAATAGACAACAGCAAGCAAAGAGCAAGCGCTGGAATATGCTTTGAAAGCTGTTGCATGTCACTGTCATGAAATCATTTCAAACATTTTGATAAATAATGTTCAAATGGGATCATACTGGATATAATTTGAGAAGTAGGCTAATAACAATACATCGGTGTAGTCCTAAAATTATAACAAGAGGGGCTCTCCGCTTCTCCAAGGAAGGCCTTGGGGCATGAACCACCAGAAATATTCTACTCTTGAGCCTATATGATACACGATTTCCCGCACATTTTAAGCAAAGGTATAAAATTATAGTTTTATCACAGTAAGGCAAGAAATTGTAATATGTACAAGTGGTCATTAGCCAGAACGATCATTACAAAAAATAAACAGAAATCGGAATATACGTATTACGATTCTACAATCATTCCCAAATCTTGATAAGCTTCCCCCCCCCAATATGCTGAGATTGTTAATGAAATATTTAGATGTTGCTCGGTTATAATTTGAAACGAAAATAAACGCGCAGATAATGTCAGAAAACTAAATGTATTTAAAGTGTTTGCCTCATTAAATTTTCCTTGTACAATTAATTAGTATAGTTTAGTTCACTGTTGTTCGTATAAATATCTTAGTTTAATGGTTGGAACACTGGTATATACAGGACGTGATGGAAACCAAGTTTTACAGTACTACGTCATTATTTGTTAGTTGTTTGGCTACCGTATTTTTAGATTAATAAAAATAGTAAAATATTGATTATCAATAACACATATAGTAAAATATTGATTACCAATAACGTGAAAAAATGTGAATGTATATAGGAGTGATTGAGACAATTAGAATTGAGTGATTGAGTTCAATTCACTGAGTGATTTCTTGAGTAAGAAATTAGTCACGTGCATACGTCTTTATACCAGCTAAAGAACACTTTAACATAACACCATTGTTATGCAAACTATATAAAGATGTTTATATAAAGATTTTTATATAAAGATTTTTATATAAATATTTTTATATAAAGATTTTTATATAAAGATTTTTATATAAAGATTTGACTTATTATGCAAACGTTTTTGAAGCCATTTAAAAAACTCGCAGGTCGTGTTTTATCAGGTCTAAAGCCACTCGCGATGCGCGCTCGTGACTTTAAACCTAATAAAACACTCCTGCTCGTTTTTTAAATAGTACATCAACTATGCCATCAAGCAATATAGCCTTCCAAACAATCAGGGCCGTACGCAAGATTCTTTTACTGGGGGGGGCACTAAGGCCTATATGCTGAAAAAAGTTCCAAATTAATATCCAAAGAATACTTAATATTGACATTCTAAAAATCGTAAATATAGTCTTCTATGGGGGGAGGGGCAGATTGGACGCGTTTGTGCCATATTAGTATGACGACGAGAATCATATTGACTCGCTGACGCCATTGATATGACGACGACGACGGCTGTCGAAGGACTAAGAATTGTTCTTTTCTTAACAAATAAAATACAAATGGCTTCCGTTTGTTTTGAATTTTTTAAATAAATAATAAAACATTTATTGAATTCGGTTTTCGCACAATAACGGCAAACTTCGGGCTTGATAATTTTTCATAATTTATCGTGCTCAACCTCATTCAATAATTGTTAAACATACCTATTATAATACCACTGTTCTTAGTGTCGTAATGATCTTTAAATAAAAAAATTCACGTCCATTCACTGCATAATTATCTTTGTTTTTATAGGTATATAAATATGTCGAAACTTCTGATCGCAGTGAAAACAGGAAATTTTCATGAAGTAAAACGGTTAGTTGATCATGGTGCTGATGTGAATAATAAAATTTATTACGATATCAGTCCTCTTCGCTCTGCAGCGTCATCTGGTTCACTGGAAATTGTCAAATGTTTAGTTGAACATGGTGCTGAAGTGAAAAGTGAAAATTATTATGATGTCAGTCCTCTTCACTCTGCAGCATCACGTGGTTCACTGGAAATTGTCAAATATTTAGTTGAGCATGGTGCTGATGTAAATTTTCAATCTTTTCACGTTGGGAGTCCTCTTAACTCTGCAGTATCATCTGGTTCACTGGAAATTGTCAACTATTTAGTTCAACATGGCGCTAATGTAAATTTTCAATCTTGTCACATTGGTAGTCCTCTTCACTCTGCCGCATCACGTGGTTCACTGGAAATTGTTAAATTTTTGGTTGAACATGGTGCTAATGTAAGTTGTCAACCTAATCCTAATGGAAGTCCTCTTCACTCTGCAGCATTATCTGGTTCACTGGAAATTGTCAACTATTTAGTTGAACATGGTGCTAATGTAAATTTTCAATTTTCTAACGTTGGTAGTCCTCTTCACTTTGCAGCATCACGTGGTTCACTGGAAATTGTCAAATATTTAGTTGAACATGGTGCTGATGTAAATTGTAAACCTATTTTTAAAGGAAGTCCTCTTTACTTTGCAGCATCTCGTGGTTCACTGGAAAATGTCAAATATTTTGGTGAATATGGTGCTGAAGTAAATTTTAAAACGCGTAACGTCGGTAGTCCTCTTAACTCTGCAGTATTATCTGGTTCACTGGAAATTGTCAAATATTTTGTTGAGCATGGTGCTGATGTAAATTATGAAACTGATACCGTTGGTAGTCCTCTTCACTCTGCATCATCATCTGGTTTACTGGAAATTGTCAAATTTTTAGTTGAACATAGTGCTAATGTAAATATTAAATCCGTTATCCTTGGTAGTCCTCTTCACTCTGCAGCATCATCTGATTCACTGGAAATTGTCGAATATTTAGTTGATCATGGTGCTAATGCAAATATTGGATCCTTTATCCTTGGGAGTCCTCTTCACTCTGCAGCATCACATGGTTCACTGGAAATTGTCAAATATTTAGTTGAACATGGTGCTAATGTAAACTGGGAAGACCAGTGGAATAAACCTGTCATTCACAATGCTGTTAAGTTTGATTCATTGGAAATGGTTAAGTACTTAGTTGAACATGGTGCTGAACTAACAAATGAAGAAAATCTTGACATGTCAATTCTATTTCTGGCTTGTGAAGGTGGAAATGAGTCAATTGTTGACTATCTTCTCCAACATGAAGCGATTAAAGACGTGAATAACTGGAAATTGAAATCTCCCTTACGTATAGCGTGCCAGAAAGGTCATACCGCCGTAGTTCAAACATTAGTGAAATATAACGTTGATATACGAACAGAAAAGGAACCATTAATATGTAGCAATAATGAGATCATAAATATTTTGAATGTGGATTTAAAGAAGTCCCTTAAACATCGCAAAAAAATTAAGGATTTTGAAAGGAATGGACAACGTGAATTTGATAAAGGTAATATTATATTTTTTATTGCATACAAAGCAAAAAAGAAATGGGATCTCAAAATCATCTATTTATTGGTAATTATTTTTTCTTAAATATTTAAGAGTCAGATAATGTGGATTGTGTGTCTCGGTAACCAGCTTTTCCCGTTTAATCGAGTGCCCAATTTATATTTTTATTGTGTTTTGTTTCAAGATTTCAATCACATGGGAACCGGGGTGGTAGTTAAAAATAGCCTATTTTCGCCATATAATTGATTTTGGCCCAAACTTTGACGGGAAAAATGGCGGACAAATTAGATAGTAAATAATTAGGAGTGAAGCAGTTTTTTGTTAATTTGACTGAGCTTAGTCATAGCTATGTCATTTGCGGAAATTACTGCGATATCAACTCAATCTGTAGCTTTAAATATGGGAGATTCACATCGTATTGCTACCTGCATGTAAGTTGTTCTATTTCTTAGGTCAACTTCATGGTACATCGGCGTATAATAAAATATGGCATTAGGCCTACGTGAAAATTTTGCCAAAACGTAGTTTTACATCTGCTTACGTCTTCAGTCCAATTCGTCATTAAGTTTGACCCAATCGCTTGGTAAAATACATATTAATTCTCTGCGTAATTTCAGTGGGTGATAGCCTACGTTGATATTTTAACCTAGAAATTCCTGATAGCCCAAGAGAACTGCAAGAAGAACGTTATTTTAAAATTGTCATCCATGTTTGGTTTCGGCAAGAAGCTTAGTTTCTAGGACTCCTGGGCTTTTATGTCGTTAAAAGCCGACATCTCCTAATAGATTTATACATTCACAAAAATTGAATACAAGCAGCGAAATCCTATTTCCTTAGTTAAAGCGTGCTTAGGTATGAATAAATGTTTATTTGTATAAAACCGCTGAATTATATTGCAGGTGCATGTCTTGAACGTTTGCCCAGGGGATTCAATAATATTGTTTACCAAAAATTTATCACCAATAGAACAATGCATGCATATTTGCCTTCCTTCATCATGATATTATTAGTATCTAATTATTTACACCAAACAAAGGCTTTTCATCTTTAATAATGTGCAGACGTTTTTCGCGCGGTTTGTCGCCATGGTTAACCCGACGCAAGGCTGCATGCGTTCACATCTGTGGCTTTCATTTAGAATATTTCATGTTAAAAACTGTCTAGGAAAATAAATGCGAGGGTTGATGCATGCATGTATTTCTAGTATGTATTAGGGAACATTACTTCTTTCCAGGGACAGCTGAGTAAGTTTCTTAACCTGGTTAAATAATTTTGTAACTTTTTGTGCTTTAGCGGAGATGATTCCGAATTCAAAACTACTCGATGTAGAAGAACTATTATATTTGTCAGTCATAGTAATAAAAAAATATTTTTCTACCATAGGTTGGACCACCGCTGAAGTATTTTTCAACGCATAAGTCTTTGATGCTTGGAAAAGGTTCAATGGGTACATCTGTTTACGTTGGTATCATGGAAGATGGTACTGAAGTGGCTGTAAAGAGGATCTTCAAACAGGAGTTTGAAGATGCAGCTCAAAATGAGCTAGAAATTCTGAGTCGAATTGATGCAAGCAAGTCACCATTTATAGTAAGCTATCGAAAATGTTTAAATGACGCCACTTTTGTGTATATAGTTTTAGATCTTTGCGAAGAAACATTGAAGGAACACGTTTGTACTCAAAGTTTGGAATATCTACAAGATCATGGTCCAAGAATGATTAAAGAAATCTTAAGCGGAATTGAATTTCTTCACAGTCACGGAATTTTGCACAGAGATCTCAAACCATCAAATGTCTTGGTTGATCTCGAAGGACACATGAGATTGGCAGACTTCGGAATAAGTCGTGTTTTGAATGAAGAAGATACCACAGTTCAGACAAGTGTGAGAGGAACCCGAGACTGGATGCCCACCGAAGTAATTGAAGTAATAAGTAAAGAAGAGAAAGGACGTTTTAAAAAGAAATCTGATGTTCAGGTCGCAGGTATGATCGCTTTCTTCATTTCGACCAAAGGTAAACATCCTTTTGGTCCTGGGCTTGAACGAATGACAAATATTTCGAAAGGAAATCCTGTTAACTTGGACATGCTTCACGATCTTCAAGTTCGGAAATTTATTTCATGGTTGATCAGTCATAACATTGATGATAGACCTTATGCTGCTGAGGCGTTGGCGGATCCCTTTATGGTCCATGTAACAAAATCTCTCAGGAAAGTTAGATTACAAATATCCCGTATATAGGATAATGCTTTTCCCCTTGCTAACTGTTGCAATGTAACTGAATTATTTTCACATAAAACTTGACGTTCACATGTGAAAGAATTATTATGTGAAACTCAAATTCAATGTATGAAAATTCTGAATTTCGCATATGAAATGAACAATTTCGCATGTGAACTTTTCAATTTGAACAAAACCATAGCAGCCCAAGAATGCGTGTAGAATGCACCAAATGCCAATTTATAAATAAACTCGCCCCCATTTCTCTGTCATTTGTCGCGCGGCCACAATTACTCAATGAAAAGCATTGTTATTATTGTTTATATAAATACTATACTGTAGGTAGACTTTCCGACTTGGCTTTTAGGCGTATTGCATTGAAGTATACTGTATTAAACAGTTGATACGGCTCGGCTGGTATTGTATTCCTCAGCTGTGTTGCCCAGTAATTGTAGTAACTGAAGATACTATCGACAATTTCAATGCAATAGGCTACATGTTTATGCAATCATAATTCGCGGCAGCTAAGAATAACTTTTATATATACGATTAATTAACATGGACATGCAAACATTGTGAATTCGAATCTCAGAGTGAATGGAAATAATTTTCAATTTTTCTCTTTGCCGTGTTTGTTTTTCTTCTCGTTTATTTGCTTGTTATGTGGCTATATAGTCTACTAGATACAGAAATTAGATTTGAGAAGCAACTGATATGGACGCAACTATACCTGAACAAATACAAAGAGAAATTCGGCGTTTCGAGCGAAGGCCCTTCGTTTGGAGTTACCAGCCAGCTAGTAACTCCAGACGAAGGGCCCTCGCTCGAAACGTCGAATTTCTCCTTATATTTTCAGGTATAGTTGCATCCCTACCAACGAAAGCTTGATTATATTATTGATACTACCTACACTGGCACAGACAGTAGCTAAGGCCCGCTTTACACGAGCCCGGGCTTATTTTCAACCCGGATCAGCACGTCACAGGTGGTTATTTTTTTATTCTGTTTACATGAACCCGGGTTGACGACAATTTTTGCCAACCCGGATCACAGGCGGCCCAATCTTACCCAGTGCTATTAATTACGTTATATCTTTATATAAATAGTATATTGAAAATCAATAGAAAATCCTGTGTTATTAATTTATTACGTTATATCTTTATATAATAGTATAATGAAAAGCACTTACATGTGTTTCTTGAAAGATTTTAACGAGAACCGGCCAAGATTGGCGTTGACAAGAGGTTAACGGCCATAGTTGGGGTTGACATGAGGATTAACAGCAAGAAATAATACAAGGCTGGTCACGTGAACTTTGGCTGTCGCATCCTCGCCAAGTTACGTTACATCGGAAGAGCGATAATTTTTACATAATATACTTTTCTTTAACAGAATTGAACAATAATCTTCCTGCAGAAAATGCCAATTGAAACTTACAAATGTCTAATCTTCCGAGGTTCGTCACCGATCTGAATTCATGGCCTTCAAATTCGAATTACACGCTGCATTGTCATTGGTCGGCTTTCAAAAGAACAACAGGACATTCGCAGAGGCCATTCGCTAACTCCCCAACGTTCGCTCTCTTACCGGAAATGTCCTGTTGTTGTTTTGAAAGCCGACCAATGACAATGCCGCGTGTAATTCGAATTTGAAGGCCATGAATTCAGATCGGTGACGAACCTCGGAAGATTAGACATTTGTAAGTTTCAATTGGCATTTTCTGCAGGAAGATTATTGTTCAATTCTGTTAAAGAAAAGTATATTATGTAAAAATTATCGCTCTTCCGATGTAACGTAATTTGGCGAGGATGCGACAGCCGAAGTTCAGTTAGTCCAATTAACGGTCAAAGTGACCAGCCTTGTATTATTTCTTGCTGTTAATCCTCATATGGCCGTTAACCTCTTGTCAACGCCAATCTTGGCCGGTTCTCGTTAAAATCTTTCAAAAAACACATGTAAGTGCTTTTCATTATACTATTATATAAAGATATAACGTAATAAATAAATAACACAGGATTTTCTAATGATTTTCAATATACTATTTATATAAAGATATAACGTAATTAATAACACAGGGTAAGATTGGACCGCCTGTGCCCGGATCAGCAATTCTCAACCCGGGCTGACTCGAGTAATATTCCGAGCAACAGATTGGAGCAGAGTGTATTTTTGTATCCCTAATAGGCCTCATACGATTATATCCCTTTTAGTTTTGGCGCTTATATCTTTCAGTATACGATTATATCCCTTTTTATCAGGGGTTTAACCGTATAGCGACTTAATTCTGCCTTAAAGGCGTTTTCTTCCTTTTTTGATAGTTCCTCAAATATTCGGCATCGAACGCCAACGCCATACCTTCGCGCAACATTGAATACATTGCGACAACATCGGAGTTGAAATCTATATTTTTATAATCCATCTCTGTCTTATTTTCCTTCAGAGAAAGGATTAGGTGACCAATAATTTCAGACCACCACTGAAACTCGCCATACTGTATGATTTTATATGTCTGTAGTAAACAGAGACGGCGAAAATACGCACGCAAAATGTTGAAATGCGATATGACGCTAGGTGCAAAGTTCACAATCATGACTTTACCGCACTTTACATGATCCCGGGTCAAGCCAACCCGGCTTTACATGAAGAAATGAATAAGCTTTTCACGCGTTCACACCTCGTCGACCCGGGTCTCGAGAAGGGTTCCCCGGGTTGACGAGGTGTGAAAGGTTGACCCGGCTATCGTGTAAATGCTAATAGAGATTTATTCGTGGACGGGTTGACCCGGGCTGGCAAGCCGCCAACCCGGGTTGATAGTCAACCCGGGCTCGTGTAAAGGGGGCCTAAGTGATACAATATCTCACGATTCATCCATTCCAAAACCTACACATACTTCCATGGTGTTCGTATGTTACCACGGAATAGTCACCATACTCTTTTGTCAATAACATATGTCTATCCAATGCTGACCCTGGAACATTCACATAACCATTACAATATAACACCCGAGTAATATTGCCTTTGAAAGATTTTGGACATGTCCATACGTCTATGATGACTCCTTCCGCTTCTCTAGCTCTTAGACCAAGCTTTACCATATCAATTGGTATATACCAATGACCTTTTCCGTAGTGAATTGGTTTCGGTTCAAAATATCCCACGCGAGACGCGAGAGCTTTCTCGAAACGCGGGAACTCCTCGGGAGTTATACATATGTCAATATCGTGTTCCCAGACCATCGGCATAGCGCGGCCACGTTGGATTGCCAACAAGTCACCCAAAGTCATCCACCAGGAATGTAAATTTGAAGTTGACGCAAATAATGCATATTGCTTCAATTTTGCGCACATTTCGCGCGTAACGCTTGGATGTTGCGCGCACCAGAGACCATTACTCGAAAGATAATATAAAACCATCCCGGTTGCCAAAACTGTTGCTAAAATACATAAACCCGATACAGGTAGTCTGAACTGATTGCCTCTCAATAGAAAGACGCAAATAAAAGGAATTATACCAATAGTAAGGATACTGAAGCCATGAACATCGAAGCCATATTCGCCATGTAAACCACGGTGTATTAACATTGGAATGCCAAGCAGAAACGGTAGTAACAGTAACAGAAGTAGAATGCATTTCCAGTAATAGAATTTCCCTTCCATTGTTGTTATATAACTGTCACCCTACAAAGAAAGACGAGTTTTAAAGTGTGAATGAAATTTTTATGATTGCATTGTTATATTGTAATTGTAATTGCTACAATAAATTTGACACACGATTACTTACATAATAATATACATAAAGATATTACTCGACTGTGATTGGTTGATTTCAGTGCAGTTAATCCCAAACAGCAGTGCAATTTTCTGTAATCACAGTGCAATTTTCTGTAATCACAGTGCAATTTTCTGTAATCACCAGGGACGCCGGAACGATAATAGGGCAAAGGGGGGCGGACGCACACCAAGGGCACCTTTACTGAAAAATTTTTTCAATTTACTCAAAAAAATTTTCCGGACATACAAAAATTTTCCGTGAAGCCAAAAATTTTTCCGGATATCTTAAATTTTCGCCATTTCTTCGAAATATTTTTCTAAATTCCAAAAATTTCCCAAAATTTTTATAAATATAAACTATAAATTACCTGAATCTCGTGATTTTCCTACAAAAAGCATCGTTGGAAATGTGATTTATCACGTATTATTTTACAACTAAAAGGGCACTTCTGCCCCCCATGCCCCCCTTAGCAAAAGGCAAGGGGGGCAGCCGCCCCCCCCCCTGCCCCCCCCAGTTCCGGCGTCCCTGGTAATCACAGTGCAATTTTTTGTAATCACAGTGCAATTTTCTGTAATCACAGTGCAAAAATCTGTAACAAACTAATCTGATTGGTGGAAAAACATTGTGATGATTAAATCAACCAATCAGTTTAAAGCAATTTATAGTCTAGGACCTGTATATGAGTTTGTATGCATTTCATTTAGGACAGATAATCTCAACTGTTTTAGGGTAAGTTGACCATGACGGTCAACATGGTAACGCTGCCCGAACCCCAATCCGGGGCGAAATGTCCGAAACTGACCACACCCAAAAACGACGCTTTCGCCATACTGCTATCTACCAAACCATAAAAGCTTTGGCTATTCTGAGGTGCTTATATGGTTCAGAGATGGTACTTTTGGGGGTGGTCATTGGTAAGTGTGAAATGCCAAGCACTAATATTTCACAAGGAAATGCCCATGCAATAATCATAGTTAAAGGTCAATTTGTGACTTGCAAATTCAGATAAACAGCAGTGGACTTACATTACCTTTTTCCCTAAATCTTTTTGATAGAAACATAATTGGTACTTATTTAAATATATTATCACTGGTTTGGTGTAAAATAGTTAATATTTTCTGACCGAAATAATAATTCGAAATGTGCCTACCTCCTGCAAATGGACGTATTTGGCCAAGTTCTCCACTTTACTCCGTTGTTTATCGGCAATCTCGTCGACATCCTACAAAAAATGTAAATCATCTCAGACATAATGGTATCAAGAACATTTTAAACAAGTTTCAACTTGGTTTCAAGTAGATCATACCTGTTTAACCATCGACAAGGTAAAACCACAACTTTGTCCAAATTCGGCGCCATTTTGTCATCCCATGTCGCTTGTTAACAATTCAGCCTTGTTACTCTTCCATCCAAGCCATTTCCATTCCATTAATAATACATTTAACCCTTTATAACAGGAGGAAACTAAAAATCTAAACAAAATACAAGAAATACGCCATTTTATCACCCTGTAAAAATATGTTGTTTACGAGTCCTTCGAAACATTTCGTACAAATCTCGCGTGGTTTAGCAACAGGGACGTGACAGGGGGGGAAGAGACTTGAAAAATGAAAGGAATGCCCACACATTATGGTAAAACCAACAATCAACATTTAATTTGTATGACTTTTTCATATTAATAAATAATAATATGTATATATTTGTCGCTACAAGAAATAAAACAAACATTT